ACAACCGCTCATTAATGCAATAATAATCTCATTTATTCGTTTATAAACATGTAATAATTACCAAATATGCGATCACAATATGCGAAATAAAAAGATAATTGAAAAATATATTTACAAAAAACGTAAAAAATTTTCTACCAAAAATCACAATTCCTAAATTTGCTAATTACAAAAACTCGACTTGATTGGGTTGGAGGTGTAGGGGGTCAGGTGCACTAGTTGATCAAATATATTATTTCATACACAAATGAGTGTCATGCGTAGCATATCACTTTTAATATAAATGATATTCCTCCGAGAATTTCATTAGTTGAATGCATGGAACTTTCTAAATTCTCACGTCTAAAGGCCATATAAGAAAAAACTTAATTTCTCATGTCTAAATCATGGCGGTAATCTAATCGAGAGGCGTGAAATCCTTGGAATACAATATGTTATGATGTTGGCATTTCGATTTATCTGTACACATCAATGAACGAATAAAAGTTAACCATATGGTGCACCGAAATGGTGGGATGCATGAAAGTATTTAGGATTGCAAACCAACTGAGTGGTTCGTAACCGGCTTTTGAGTTGAACTTGGCTCGATTGAGTTATATATTGACTCGTTGAAGCCCGGAAAGTATCTGGTAGTAGAACAATTGATTAAACATAAGAAGGTCAATAAATTGTAAATGAGATGATAGGCTTCAGTGACTTGCAAACCTCCACAACTGAACTGGATACAATTACTAATTTTCCTATTCACTTTAATTTATATTTATAATGAAGTGGACACGAAAAGGACATGCCGGCGGCACAGCGAGGAGCATTAACTGTTAAAAGTTTGGACAAAAAGTATCAGTGTTTGAGACGAAAGGAATCTAGCCAGTAGGCAGGGACTTCTAAAATAACCGGTCCTGATTGAATAATGCAGTGTAAAGAGCAATATAACCGATATAGATACAATTATATAGTGCAGGCAGCGTAAAGAGCAATATAACAACAGATACAGCTTCTTCTCAATAAACACAATTTTCCAATTTAAGATTTCATTTAATACTATTTAGTTTGGCTTCATTCATGTTCAACCACCTCAAGCCCCTCCAAAAAAGAAAGGAAAAATCCCTTTCATCCTCGACAATTTCCTATAAGTGGTGCATCATTTATTTTGCCACTTCCTCCCAATAGGAGAGACCAACCGATGATGAAGATGATGATGATGGAAGTTAAGGTTCTATCTAGGAAGCTCATTCAACCATCAACTCCTACTCCCCATGACCTTAGAAACTTCCGTATAGCTTTCACTGATGAAATGTCTCCAACAGCGAACGTCCCACTGATTCTCTACTATGTCAACAACAGCAGCAAAGCTGACGACAAGACTAGGATCAAACAGTTGCTGGAGACCTCGTTAGCTCAGGTATTACCCCAGTTCTACCCTCTAGCAGGAAGGTACGTCGAGGAAAGTCGCCTCATTGATTGTAGAGATCAAGGTGTTCATTACGCAGAAGCACAGGTCCTGAACTGCCATCTGCATCAACTTCTTGGACCGGAGATGAAACCTGAGCAGCTCAACGATCTCCTTCCGTGCCCGCTTTACGCCGTTGATGGAGTCACGGATCCACTGTTGTCAATTCAGGTTAGCACGTTTGAATGTGGTGGTATGGCGATCGGCGTGTGCATTTCCCACAGGATTGCAGATGCAGCCACCCTGGGCACATTTCTCTGTGCCTGGGCTGATGCATGCAGTCTAGAAGAAGGCAGAGAAAACGTCTGCCCGGTTTTCAATTCCTCCCATTACTTCCCTGGAAGAAACTTGCCTAAGCTTGAGCTTCGAATCCCACAAACCAATGGCCAGGATGTCCCTAAGATATTGACGAGGAGGTTTGTGTTTGATGGAAGGGCGATAAGCAAAATTCGGTCCAAAGTCTTGATGAACTGCGAAAATGGCACAACCAAGCATCAGTATACAAGAGTGCAATTGGTTTCCGGCCTCTTTATAAGGGCTCTTCTTGGACTTGATCGAGCAAAATATGGACGTTCAAGAGCTTCACTCATTACGCATACAGTAAATTTGAGGAACAAAACTTCTCCACCTATTCCAAAACATTCTTGTGGGAACTTCTGTACTTTCGCGGTAGCCAATTGCGCCGCGGAGCAAGCCAAAAGCCCAGGGCTTCAAGGCACTGTAAATCTTGTTGGGGATGCAGTCAGGAAAACCGCAGCAGATTGCGCGAGAATTCTCAACTCTGGGGAGGATGGAAACATGGTGATCATCGATTCCTTTAAACATGTCACTGAAATTATATGCAACAGTGGTGGAGATCTGAATGTTATTATGTTTACTAGCTGGTGCCGGTTTCCACTCTACGAAGTTGATTTTGGGTGGGGAAAACCGATTTGGATAAGCCCTGCTAGCATACCTGCACCGAATTCTTGTGTGATGATGGACACCAAAGATGGCGATGGCATCGAAGCATGGTTGAGTTTGGACGAGAAAGATATGTATATGCTCCAACAGGATCACGACATCACAACTTTTACGGCCGCCTGAATGGGCTGAAAGTTTGCATTATTGCCACAATCGTACGCCCTTTTTTTTTTGTACTTTGGTTTCTATATTTCATGATTCATCAAGGATGAGGACATGACTACGTCCAAAACCTGATGTGTCAAACCAATGAATGAGTTGCTGATTAATTACTAAGAACTTTGATTAAATATTAGGGTACGTAGCTAAAATTGACGTTTGCTTTGATTGCTGCTACTATTAATTAAGTTGCACCGCCCTTTTTCTGGTCAAATATGCAAGTTGTAGAAAAAAATTTCAAAGTCTTTGTTTTTCTTGTTTTTTGGTTACAGAAGATTACTATAAACCACAATGGGGTCACATAATCAACAAATTAACCACAAATGGTTGAAATTACAATTCAATAATATTACAAATAAACCTAAATAATAGGAAAAGAGACTAGATCACATATACTAAGACTTGGAGCCTCTAATATTCCCTTTCATGATGAATTAATTGAGTTAGACAACTTGAATCCAAGATTCTTTAATTTACTCTTAAAAAGGCTTCGAGAAGTAGAAAGTACAGTCAGTGCAAGTCTATATCCATGGACAGTTATGCAGAAAAACCTTTTCTACTTACAATATACAGTAAAAATGACATTGGACTTTAGGAGTTAGTGTAGTGCTGATTTAAGCGAAAATCTGAGAACGACCCATATCGCAGTAGGAGTGTGAATCGGAATCGAAGTCGGTAATTCGAAACTTTGAAATCGAAATTTTTTAAAATTTTGGCATCAGAATTTCCGACCGAATTTGATTTCAAATTCACCAACTTCGAATTCAATTTGGAATTCGGTAAATTTCGATTTCACCGAATTCAGGTATATAAAAATTAATATTATAATATAAATGTTTTATTACATATATATATATATGAAAAATTACTTTGAAATCGAAATAAGAATTCCGAATCACCGAATTCAAGAATATAAAAATTATTATTATAATATAAATGTTATATTACATATATATATATAATATTATATATGTATATATAAAATATTATATATGTTTATATATATATATATGAAAAACGAATTTGAAATCGAAATAAGTATTTCGAATTTCGATTTCGAATTGTGAATTGTGAATTTGAAATCAAAAATTCGAAATCAGAAATTCCGATTTGAAAAATTCTATTACCGAATTCAAACCAAATTCACATAATTAAAAATAGAAAAACCCAATTTCAGTTCCGAATTTTGAATTACCGATTTCAAAAATTCTAAATCCAATTCAGCCGATAAATCAGAATTTTTCGATTTTGTACACTTCTATATCGTAAGATATACAAAAAAAAAATTAGATTTACCCGATAAAAACATTAAAAAAATTAGGAAGATGTCCAAAGGATATTAAAAAAAAAAAGAACTACAAATATGCTCACCTATACATAAAACGTAGATAGATGAAGTTATTATGGTAAACATTGAATAGAAATAGTGTTGTTAAATGAAACGAGTAACTTGAAAGTTTGAATAAGTTTGAATAGGCTCTGCTTGATAATGCTCGAACTTGGTTCGTTAATTTCATTAAACGAGTCGAGTTCGATCTAAAAATTTATTCGATTAATTAACAAGTCAAGTCAACTCGAATAGTTTGTTATTCGATTAGCTCGTTTGACTTTGATAAGAAATGGCATATATGCTATTTCATAAAAATTGTCTGATTGAATAGTAGCATTTGTATGAATATCAACAAAATTGATAATGACAGTTGTTTGAGATTTCGAGCTCGACTCGTATGTAATGAAGGAGTCGAATTAGAGCTCAAGTTCAAGTCACAAGTCCCATTTGTCGAGTTGATTTCGAACACATTTCAAGACTTGTCCACTTAATCGACTGAGCTTTGAACCTGACTCGATAAAGGCACGAGTCGATTAACAGCACTGAATAGAAATAACTACTAACAAATCGTGCTTGGTTAATGCTTATGTATGGACTTATGTAGTACAATTAGTATTATATACAATTGGTACGATTGTTATATATTTTTTTTAATAATTTGACGTACACTCACACAATTTATTGTATTTTATGATTTGATGTACGTTTTGTATAACTTTTATTACACATTATAAAATATAATAAAATTACATAATTGGATACCAAATCATTAATATAATAAAACAACCACACCAATCACACCTATTGCTAACCCATATCTACCGCCAAACCCTTTATGTAGATGAGTGCAAACAGAATAAAATAATTTAAAACCACCAATACCTAATAAGCCATGGTTGGTTAAGTGTAGAAATTCTCTTTGAACATAACTTGTAAGGAAAAATTTGGGCCCTTATTTTAAAGGCCAGAGTCAGAAAAACTATGGTGAGCAATACCTCGGCCCTCTTTTGGGTACCGTTCATTGAAGGGTATTGCATCTTTGGGCTAGCTCCGTCCATGGGCTACAAATGTTGCTAGTAGAACAGTTCTGCTCACCCAGAAACTAGAATACCATAATAAAGAAGAAAATTTGTGCGGAAAGAAACAGACAGGGAGTGAAGGTTAAAGAATCAAAATATCAAAAGATGGGAGACGAGAAGGTGAAGAATGAAGCAATGGAGATAATGGGACTATTTCAAGTGCTCCCTCGCCTTATCGTCTTCGATCTTGATTACACCATCTGGCCTTTCTACTGGTTAACCATTTTTTATTATTTCCTCTATTTGTCTTGAGATTTCTGTCAATTGTTTGTTGCTTGTGATTCTTGGATTAAACCTTCACTTTTTCCCGTTTCTGTTTCTTTGGTGAATCCCATCTAAGTTTGTACATGGATTTTGAAACTTTGGGTTTTGCTGGATGGTCAATATATGACTGTTTCGAGGAATGCAAATGTAATTCAGCCTTTCTTGGCTTTAGTTAACCGAATCAGATGTTATGGTCCTTACGGAGTTCCCGTTTTGTACTTTCTGTCAATCTAATGTACTTGGACAGCATAAGAGCTCATAAATAAATGCAGATTACCCACTAAAGTATATTTGTCATGTTTAGTGAAACTTGGCTTATTTTTAAGGGCTAATCAGTGTTTATGATAAAATGTGGTCACTAGACAACTTATCACGCTTTTTATCTATGGTTTACGTTATGATTCATTAGCGATGAGGCTCAGTACTGGTGATTTCGTACGGATGATCCAAAACGGTTTTGGACAATAAGTTTGTATCTATCTGCACACCCACTAAATTATGTGATCTTTCAGGGAATTTTTCTTTCCAAATATAGTTATGCTATGTCTCTTGTCACAATAATGGAGAAAAGTGGACAATTTCTGCTGATCATATCCTTTTCTGTCTGTTTGAGTGTTTATTTTTCTCCTTGGAAACTCTTATTTGTTTATTTTCCAGTGAGTGTCGCTCCAAACGTGAAATGCCATCGCTCTACTCTCATGCCAGAGGCATATTATATGCACTCAAGGACAAGGGCGTTGATGTTGCTGTTGCCTCGAGATCACCAACAGCAGATATAGCAAACACATATCTTGACAAATTGGGGATAAAGTCAATGTTTGTTGCTAAGGTGATCCAGTATTTATTTTAGTAATTTATGTATTATTTTATTTTATTTCATTGCTACTGCTGACTTGAGGTCATCAATTTGATAGTCTTCACAAGTATAAGAGTACGCAATGAAATCTTGTCTTGATAGTGGATGTCACGGAGAAACAGGAACGCATGACATGAGTGAAGTGGCAACATTTCCTAACTTCTTGAAATGGTTAGAAGTCTAGGCAGTGATGTTGCAGCCCCTAATTAGAGTTCTGGAGTAAATAATTGGAACTCGTTTTATTAAATTAGTGTTGGGCAAGCATCTGATTGTGTATTCTTACATCTATGAATGTTCTTTCTGTTATTTTGGTAAGCAATCCCTATGAACCTTTAGAATTTTTACATTGTCATACTTTCCTGTGATTGCAGTATCCAAACTGTGATCTTATGTAGCGCCGATAGGTTACTAAAGTCGAATTTTGTGAAAATCTTTCATCAACTACAAACTTCTTTCGTGCACCATATTTGTGCTATTCAGAAGTCTGGTTTAAGGGTGTGTCAACTTGATATTTGCACATGCCTATTTCATTGTGGGGATTCATTTAACAACTGAATTTTGCTTACTAATATATGGTGTTAACCAAAATGAGAAAAAAAAAGTGATGTTTTATTTTCTTGATTTATGGCCTTCAAGTGCCTGGTTACGCGTAAACAAAATTTTGATATTCATTGATATGGTGTTTTTGCATCATTGTAGGGAGCGCCCCCCCCCCGGGGGGGAGGAGGGGAAGGGGGGTGTAGATGTTGTCACCAAGAGCTGTTGTCTTACATTTGCTTACATCAATCGACTCTAACCCTTTGATAAGTTGTGACCTGAGTAGTTACTAAAACCGAGTGCAAACTCTCTGTGTTGCAAAACAGTTCTTAGATGTTTTGCAAAGTTTTAGATAGGATACCATGTATACAGTGACTTATCACTAGATTGCTTGTTTTTGGCTGCAACACTGAATACTTGTCATATTCCAGGAAATATTTTCCAGTTGGACTCATAAAACAGATCATTTTCAGAGAATAAACCAGAGGACTGGTGTGCCCTATAATGCAATGCTCTTTTTTGATGATGAAGATCGGAATATAGAAACGGTACCGTCTCCTTCCTGGTCCTGGTAGTTTGATTTGATTATCGAACTTATTGTCTGTGATTATGGTACCTGTGGTTCCTTGCTGAGTGAATGCATACCTCAGTTTTGAGCAATATTGAGAAACTGAGTTTTCTTATCCTGCAAATCCAGTAATTTGAAGATTTTATATTTCAGGTGTCAAAAATGGGCGTGACAAGCATATTGGTGCGCAATGGGGTAAACCTTGCTGCTTTGAGAGAAGGACTTTCAAAGTTTTCTCAAAATTTAGCTAAAATTGATAGGAACAAGCAAAAGTGGCTGAAATTTTCGCAAAAACCAGGTTCATCAGAAAGGGACAAGGAATGATTTCATTTTTGTTGGGAAGTATGATATTCCTAGTCGTTTAATTGGGAGAAGATCATATTGGTTTCTATGCTCGTGGAGCGCATGGACATGACATATTGTTGTAATGACACTTCATAATAGTGGACACATACTTCTGTAGCAACCCTTATTTATGGATGTAAGAGTTTCGTTTTTCGGTTCACGTCACGAGTTGAGCTTGTCTAATTAGTTTCCTTGGGCAAGATGGCTATTCTCCTATCCTTTTCTTCAAGCAGTCAATGCAAGAGAATTTGTGGCGCATTGGACTTTTTCCGTACATGATAGCTCAAGTTGGTCAATCCTGCATACAATTGTCTACAATTTCGACTAAATGGTAGAGAAAAGAAAGAAATGGAACATCATCTCCAATTGTCCCAAGTAAATTATAAATGTTATTGACTTGCATAAGTTGTTGGATCTAATGATATTTACTTGCCTAGGATAGTGATGATACATGCTGTGAAAGAAGGGACGCTGTCCCTTTGGGGACGTCCGATAAAAAAGAAAGAAGAGACTCTAGTTTATTAGCCAAGAAGCCTTACCATTAAACTTTGAAGAGTCACAATGGAATTCGCCAAGCTTTCAAAATCAGCAGCGTAGGTTGATACGTGCTCGTGAGGAAAGCCATCAGTTGTAGAAAAAAGGAAATATAATTATAGTTCCCTAACTGCCCTGGGGGTGATCTGAATATTGGAGTCATTACCCTTAAAAGAGTTTTTTTTTTTTCTTCCTAAAAGTTGATGTTTTACAATTTATCCCTTGTTAAATAGTAGTTCTGACAGCTGTTTTCTTATATAAAAGTAATTTAAAAAATTGAGCAAAAATTCACATACCTTGAAACATGAGTTTACAAAATTTTCGTCGAAGTACTGGAGCAATCAACAAAGATTCGAAATAATATCTTGCACCAGTACGGAAACAATCCAAAGTGGAAAGGTCCCTTTGTATGCATACAGGCTACAGCCCCAACACGAAACTGACCAGCAGGGGTGGATTGGCGAGTTGTCTCAGGTGCAAGTGAAATGCAAACGTTAGACTTAACTGTACAAATAGGCTACTTCAAGCTTCACTACAGTGTACACCTAAGAAAATGTGTGGTCCAACTCAAAAGAATAAAACCAGAAAAGAATTTATGATTATGGTCTCTGATTCCCAGTATCAAAAGCTTCCATTCTAGGTCGAGCAGCAGAATGCTCCTGAGCTGCCAGACTCTGCACTTAAAGTCTTCTCAAGCCCTATCTTCAACAAGCAACGCCTCAAGTTCCTCTCTACGACGTTCCAACTCCTACAATAAGCGTTAAAAAAGAAAAAGAAAAGAAAAAGCATGAAAAGACTACGTCAAGGATTTGAGTTGACACTATATAAATTTCTCAAATTCTGAAAACAATGTGTAACAACTTGCAAATATTTTCCCAAACCTAACAAATCCACTAAATGTCTTTCACAGCAAATATCTTACAATACACAATGAAGGTATGAAGGTAAAAACGGCCATAATGGCATGCAATTCTTTTTTATTCGTTGTCAGCTTGCAAATTTAATCATTTTAAACGGGTCAACTAGCATGTTTTCTTCAACGTGCATGCAGTGGTTTATTTGCAAATTCATCAAGCTTCGAACTAACTTATTTAATGCATTCTATTGCCGAGCAGCTCATTTGTGTTGTGTAAAAAATGGCCACCCGTGCACCCGATGGTATGCAAACTATTCAATGTGATACATTTTACCTCTAAATCCTTAACAGCTTGATCCCTGGAAACTTCTTTCTTCTGACGAGCACGTTTTAATGCACCAATGCATAGTATGCCCTGAAAGTTGACAAGATGAAGTATCACAATTACATCTTAGATTAGAAATCAATGAATATTCGAATTGCAGATGGGGATAGTCAATAAGGACAGATTCTCTCTCTTGTAAAAGTAAACTCCTGGAAATTAGGTGAATTACATTCTCTTAGACTAGAGAGTTCAAAGAATTAATGACAGGTTTATCCTTCTCCTTAGCAGATATTGTGCTTATATTACTTACTGATACAATATAAATCAGCCCACAGGATAGAAGCAGGTAACATGCTATCTTCTGAAGAAGCACAAGCTCTTGTCTTTCACCAGAATATTCTGGGAAAGCTCTTGTCATCACAGCAACACTGAAACAAACTAGAAGATATTAATAAAAGAAACATGTTTAACAAAAATGAGTTGATTATAACATCCACAGCTTCTCTAACTGCTCAAATTATTGCAAAGAGGGTTCAGCCTGTGGTTCTCTTACTGATACCAAATGGTACAAACTCATCCTTAGCCAGTTAGTTTAGGGGTGGCAAAGAGACGGGCTGACAAAGATTCTTAAGTGATCCAAAAGCTAGGTAGAAATTGGCATTTTATGGTACGAGCAAATGGTTTTGGACAAGAATTGGACTGGTCTTATTAAGTGCTTCTGTTGGACACTCAACATCAACACTTGCACAAGTGTTCCGAAAAATGGATCTACACTTCCCTTAAAAGGTATAACAATATAGCAGTAGGATATCCTGCAACCAAGTTTCTCATACTTCACAGATGGTTATCGACCAAACAGAAAACCTTACTCTGATAGTTGCAACACAAAGATACTGCAAGACCGGGATGGGAAATCGTTGAGAAAACCATATTTTGCAAACTAGAGGTTAAAATGTCAAATGCTTTACAACTTTTAGGTGGCAACAAGAGATCTTTACGGGATCAATAGATTGACAAGACGTTACATATGCTACACCTATTAATCATTCACTTCCATTACCAATTAGAGACTTTGAAATGCTTCCAAATTAACCACAAACAAGAATATGGAAGCGAAACATTCAACAAACAATGTATGGTTCTACCAACATTAACTGAAAATCTCAGGAATTTGAGATAGGAAGCCTAATCCCAACCATTTCTGCAATTTAGGCCCTTAATAAGTTTGTGAAACAATAAGAAATCTTAAGTAGCTATACTACTTGGCAAGGTCCCTTAAACCTTTTTCAATAAACGACTATACCTTTCAATTCATAATTTTCACACAGCTGATGAAAGCAACATTTCATCCATGTAAAATCACACAGAATAAGAGAATTTGAGTATACTAAGCCCATATTTTGAAAGCAATGCATCATTTATTTCGCGTGAATCAATCCTCAGACTTACAAGATCTGCAGCATACCCCTGCCAGCCCAATACTCCAAGACCTGAGTTAAGTTGGTGAAGACTGTTAGACAAATCAAGCTGTTTTAAAAACAAATATTGAAAATGCTGAGCATGGTAATACCAGCAAAACGTATCATCAATTTATTCCTTTCACAAAATGTTGTGAAAACTAGTTCAGTTTCTTTTTCTTCTTAATTGCAACGTGGCTTAGCATAGTACATAGAAAGGCCGTGAACAAATCATTCACATCCTTTTTAATGGCCTTAAGAATTCAGTATATGAAGCATCAACAAGGCAATAATTCTTGACAGGCAGCACAAGTAGCAATGGATGATAAATTCAGAATCAGTAAGACCAAAGTTAAAGCATTTAGACGGACCTTATGCTGCCTGTAGGATGGATCAAAATCCAAGGCATATCTGATATCATGTTAAACCGTTAAACCATGAGGTCATTTTTATCCAAAACCAATTGACTGTGAGCGAAGAAGCATCCTATTCAATACCTTATTAGCAATTTTTACAAACTCTCAAGGATACAAATAAGTCCTTCAAGAAGGACTACCATAATATTTTTCCCTTTATCTCTCATAACACGATTATAATTTACGATCAAGTATTTACCACACAAAAATATGACAATGATACAGCTTTTGAAACGACATAGTATTACAAGAGCACATACACAGAACTGCAAATTCTAGTACAAGAGAAACTGAACACTTTAGGACAACGAAATTTCGTCATAGTTAATCGGAAAAAAAAAAGAAAATAAAAATAAACATTGAACCTTCCAAAACTTGAAAATGAATCCCCATTCCATCTCAGCTAACACTGCAAAAATCGCAATTACGACAGCGTAGCACCTGAATATTCCATCAAATACCTACAAGAGAAAAAAAATTCCCGCCAAAATAACCAGAGAGTCCTCATTTTGCCAATTTTAGGAACATTGCCCATATAATTCAATAAACAATACGTAATACAATATTCTGTACTACTATTAACCCACTCACCCACCCACCCCCCCCCGGTCGCCCCGCCCCCCCCCCCCAACCCCCAAAAAAAAAAAGAAAAAATGATATAGAGATTGAAATTACGTCTGATCCGTTCTTGAAGGATCGGATGGCTGAGAGGATGTTGACGGCAATGCAAAGTAAAGCAGCTAAGGCTGTAATGAAACTGAAGCATCTACAGACCACTAAGAAGGGGTCGGTTCCGGCCCGGACTGTCCGGGTTGCAGAGGAGGTTGATGAGCTCCCGCTGTTACTGCCTCTGCGTGGCACAGGATGCTCTCCCTCGTGGACGTTCGTCGCCATTGATTTTCACTTCCTTCAGGCTTCAGCTCAGCATAATCTTCACTAGCTCAAACAACAATAGAAGAAAATTAATTATTTGGCTTTAAATTTAGGGATTCCCTCTTCCTTTTTTGTTTTTTAATGTTACATTTTCCCTTTTTTGTTTCTTTAACAGGCTTTGTTTAGGTATGTTTTCTGTAGGAGGTTCTTTCCCCTACCGGTCAAGGAAACCGTGGGCCGTGGCGGGCAGTTGCCAGTTAGTTGAGGACCTGTTTGGATTACTATTTTATGAAGTTTTAGAAAAGAGGTACCGTAGCGATTTGTAATTTGATCCACAGAAAAGTAAAAAAATTTTGAAAAAAAATTACTTTCTAATTAAACATGCACGTGTCTCAATTTTCACAGTTTTCAGGCTTTTATTGCCAACTTATTGTTACAAAACAAAACTCAACTATGGTTACATTGGTAACAGATTCTAGAAATTATTTCGACGTTGGTGTCATTTCTCTAATGGATGTCTATCAGCACTCATTAAGTTTAAACGTTTGATTTTTTTAAAGATAAAATTAATTAGGGACAGTGTATAAAATGCAAGAGATAATAGTAATTATAAGTGTATATTAACACACAATAAATTGGATGAAATTTAGGTGTGTAAATGGGAATCGAGTTAATTATTTCTATTGGGTTAGTAGGAGTAATTC